ACAAACATGAGTAAGACAGACCACTGCCACCAAGAAGCACAGAGCTCAATGGAAAATAAAGACAAATAATAAAAACCATTCTAAAACAATGTGAAAAGGGTTTTATTTTAAGCCAGGGTTTCTCAACCTCAGCACTATTGAGATTTGGAGCTGAATGTTTCTCTGTGGCAGGGGCTGTCCTGTGCATTGCAGGAGGTTTAGCAAAATCCCTGGCTTTTAGCCACTGGACGCCAGTAGCACCCCCACCGCTACCACCAGATGTGACGACAAAAATGTCTTCAAACATTTCCAAAGTATCTCCAAGGGAGGAGGGTGGCCAAAAACACCCTTGTTTGAGAACCACTAGTTTAACTGTATCCTCTTATTGTTAGAGAATTTTCTATGTGAGAGATGAGTCTGACCATAAAATTTTAAAGATGGCAATCATACCCTATATATTTTTGGAATACTTTCAATTTTGTAAATATATATTAAGTTTGTAAATATATATTTTGTAAATATATATTATTTACAATTTTGTAAATATATATTATTTACAATTTTGTAAATATATATTAAACCTCTATAGGTTTAAGGAGCTATCCTACTTATTGAACACCTTAAAAAATTAAATTAGTATGACAAATTTGCTACTCCTGTTTAGGGCAGGGAGTTAGAGCACAGAATACAAGTAATACCAGTCCTATGGAGAAAATTCCAGAGAAGGGCTATAAATAAGAAGAATTAGGAGCAAGCCATTTATTCAACAAACATTTTCTGAGGCAGCACTGTTTTGGGCTCTGGGGAGAAAACAGTAAACAAGATAGATAATTACTACCAGGAAGGAACCTCCATTCTCATTTTCAATAAATAGTTAAAACATATAATATATCAAATGGTGGTGAATGCTTCTAATTAAGACAAAGCAAAGAGACAGGGAATTCTGGGGCCCAGGGGTGGGCACAATTTTAAAATTGAGGATGAGGGAACAAGTCATTCCCCACATTCTCCAGTAGTCCCGAGGATAGCTTTACAGAGGAGGATGGGCCATCACACGTAAGCAGCACCAGGCACAAAGTTTTGCTTTTGTTCAGGAAACAATTATTGTGTGCTATGCTATGGTAGGTAAGTCACCAAGTGCAGGTGAGAAAATTTCCCAGCTTCCCTGGGTCACAGCATCCCCAAGTGCATAATCCACTAGATACTTGTGGTTTAAGCCTTCCCCAGTCCCCTCTGAGCCCTCTCAACTTCATAACCCTCCCAGCTTCACAGACATCTGCTTGGCCGGTCCTTTGGATCAGTCCTCTGCTGCTGGGTCAACCCATCTTCTCTACACCTATTTAAATCTAAGCTACTTTTCTCATCGCCTTTGGTCATGGGGAAAGAGGGTCCTTTCTCTTGTACCCATTTTCCCGAAGTGCCTTTTGTAGCTTTTCTTACAACATTTAAAACTCACTTATTAGGGGCCTTAATGTTCTGCACACAAGAATCCTATTGTCTTACATCATCCTTTCCACTGGAGGTACAAAGAGCCACCTTCCCTGCCAACCTTCATGTTTCTGTCCCTGACTCTTAGCACCAGCATCTGTATGGATTCTTTGGGTTCCTTCAATCTCCACCAGGTCTTCCTGCTCTCCCCCAGTTTTTTGGTCTTTCCTCCCTCTCTGAAAGCCTCAAGCCTGGTCCACTATCCCCAGTGGCTCTGTTACTAGGCTGCCTCCCTCTGAGCTTGCTTCCCCACCATTCAGATTTAGATGCAGCAGCACACAAGAGTACAACTGAGTGCCACGCCATGGGCTGAGACCTTACAGATTACTGGATCTCATCCCCTGGTGGAATTACTCCATTCTGCAGACCTTTTTTCCAGGATCCATCTGCCCAGACTCTACCTTTGGATTATTATGTCATTTATAATTTGACCATAGCCAGAACATTCTCAATTTGTAATGGTCTTCTGGAAGGTCCTTGCCTTGCCATTTAACTGCCTATGAATCTAAATAAGATGCTAAGTTGCAACCACTTTGGTGTGCATTTGCTAATTTTTATGTATGTGAAAGCATTTTCTTATCTTGTAACTGGGACACAATTTCTTTCAAAATAAGCACTTAATAAAGCAGAGGAAAGAGAATGAATAAGTCTTCGTGAGTGTATGAGAACACTTTTTTCTAATTTCTTAATGTTTATTCCACTTTGCACTTGGCCTGCCTTAATAACTAAAAGCTAAAACACTAAAGGAAGCATGTTTCCTATCAGTTTCATGGTTCCTATATCAAGGGTGAGAAAGCATCCCAACTCTCTCATCTAGAGTTGACAGGCTTCTAAAGAGGGTCCAAATGTTTTTCAAGTCTAAACATTGGGAAGTCATAGGTCTTGTTGCTTTCTGTATTGGTTGTAAAGACCTCAAGTGACATTTGCTAATTCTGTGGCCCCAGTTTTGTAGCCTACAGGCATGTCCTTCATTGCTTTCACTCCAGTTGATCGCTGCAGATGTCAGACAGGTCACTGGAATCCTATAACCACAAATTGTTGGGATGGCAACCTTTACGTTCAGAAAGAACAAATTCTTCCTGGCTTGAGGACACCAAGGGACACACTGAGAATCTACTGGGCCTTACAGATAAAAGTTCCCAGATTCACCCATGGAGCTCACCTTGGCTCATTTCCTAGCTGTGTGTCAGCATTTTTCTGAATCATCTTGGGCAAATTGCTTTACCTCTCTGTCATCTCAACTGTGGAGTGGAGATAGTATGAGCTCTCTATTTCCTTGTCGTTCCGATAATTAGATAATGTTCAAAAAACACTCTGAGCTGTTCACAAAGGCTGCTCTGTAAATACAAGATATCACAATTGCTTTGATAAATCCTATTAGGAAATAAATCAAGCACAGACGTTCCTGACTTCCAGCATCACACAACTCTTCTTGGCTGTTTTCACAGGCAAGGCAAAGTTGGGCCCTCACAGAAATGATTCTTGCAGCAACTTTTAGCTCCAGTGGGACTCTGGACATCTTTCATGAGTGGACCAGATAATTGCTTTAGTGCAAGCAAAATAGTTCACATGACAAAAAAACTAAATTGCTAAATTCATCTAAATTAGCTGAAACATAGGCTCCCAGCTTATTTTCTCTCCTTTCTACTTTTATGCAGCTATACATAGTCTAACTAAAGGTAAGAAGATAATAAAATTTCAATTTCTTTGAAAATGAACAAAAACTGGTATGAATTCTCCTATGTTTTGCTCTTCAGCTTGCCCTTTTCTAAACTCAGTTCTCATTCTGCAAAACTGTATTTCTGAAAATTTAGTAACAAATTTTGTAAAGTATTTGCTTTTTATGCTGACATTTTGCCATAAAATATTCCATAAAACTGTATGTTTATACCTTTAAAAACTCACTAACAAAGCATTCCTTGGAAGAATCTGATACCTTAAATAAGAAATTAAATAGACAAACCAAAAAGAGAACTAAAGATATACTTTAAAGGCTCAAAACAATGAAGAAAGTGTTATCAATCAAAATTGTTTTTCCTATAAAGTTATCAAGTTACTGGTTGATCCCTAGTACCAGTATAAAATCCATCAGAAGCTACTACTTCCAATACCAATTTTCCCCAAAGACCTTGCATCTCTCCCCTAACTTTTTGTCCCATTCCTACCCTCTCATCCTCAGATCAGATGCAGAGTTTCTGGAGCTGAAATAATCTACATGTCATGTCACAATGAATCCCTGAGTAATCACCACCATTGTTTCTCAAGTGAAATACAAATGAAGGATGCACACTTGAGCATCCCTCTTCTTTTTGAGAACTAATATTTATATGCCAAGAATGCTTTATTCTAAGTCTTGTTAACTCTGCTGCTGACAAATTGCCTTGCTCCCAATCTAACCTTTTGGACAAAGTATTCTGGAAGATACACACACACACAGGTATGTATCAATAAATATTAAATAAATAAATACATACATATATAAAATGGGCATATATATCTAATGGATATATATTAGGTATATTTTTATATAAATTTATGTCTCTATTCAATTTGGGGATTAATTGAAACAGACATTCATTAGGTTCAGTTGGGTAGGGTGATAACAGAAAATGCCCCAAAGATCTAAAGAACAGCAGACTTATTTTTAAATTGCAATTTATATGAATAGTCTGTTAGAAACAATGGAGTTATATTGTCCACATGCCCACATAACTGTATTTCAGCTCCCTGAGGGCAAATCCAATACCTAGTTTAATTAAAAACCTATCTTTCTATTTTTAATGCAGTTCGTAAAAGAGCTCAAAGAGCTGGACAAAAGATTTACTAGGCACAAGTTAAGTTTATAGTCACAAAATTTCTCAATTAATTGCAGCGAACACACATTGCCAAAAGACACTGCTTCCTCCAGAGAGTATTCATTTCAACCCAACACATGTAAAAATGATTTACAAAAGATGGTACTAAATTTCATTAAGCAGCTGATATGCTTTAAGGTAGCAGTCCCTCTCTCGAAGATTATCCCCTAAGGGATAATGGTAACTATATGTCTTTAGAAATGAATCTAAGGCACCAGTCACATTTACTAGGATTTTTTTTGTCTCTGAAAGCCATTTCTTACTAGATTTTAGAAAAGCAAACAAACAGAACCACTACTTCAAAACACCGAAGGCATTTCGGTGAGATTTCACCGGAATGAACACAGAGGCAGCAAAGACTACTCATTCATTTCTGTGGTCAAAACTTTTCTTTCCATCAGGATTCCCATTGAGAACATGCTTATTGCAAGGATAAAAGTATGATAAAGTTCTGAGTACTTGTGGACAAGATGAGATATCTTTATGTGTAAAAGTAACTTCTGGACTATACTATAAGTCAGCAGCAAGTCGAAATCTCTCTCCTTCTATTGATCCACTGGCCAAGAAAATCTAAGAAATACCTCATTCCTAAAAAAGTGAAACATAACTCCCTCATCCCCGGTGCAATCTCCCCTCAGCTCACATGTTCCTACACACAGCACACACTTCACGGTTTACCTTTTAATTACTGGATTCTGTCAAGGGTCCTTCCTAATATATCCAGCAGGAATGCAAGATGATGAGTGCTCTTCACCCCCAAGTGGCATTTGACTCCACTCCATGCAATCACTCAATGCAGTATGGATGAATAGGCCAAGTTCAGGTTCACTGCCCTACAGAGTCTTTATTCCTCATAGCACATGACTAGAGAGCAAGTGAGCACTGCTGCTGGTGATGCTCCGCTCCTGCTAAAACTAATTGAAAAAGCATGTTGCAAAAAGCTCTCTATAGGCTCGCTCTCCTTACCCTTGCTGTGACAAAGTTAAAGCTGCAGTCTCGAAAAAGAAGAACAAAAGAAAAATACAATACAAACTGCCTCGTCGGAGGAGCTTTCTCTTCCAGCAAAACATTATCCACGGCAAGCTTGGGGACAGCAGGTGAAGCCACAAATAAAGCCTTGAACTTTATTGCTCAAAAGAGCCCAGGCAAAATTGCATGGGTGCCATGCAGGCATCAGTCGCCCCATCTGTGCCTCTTTGCAGGGTACCTTGGGTGCACACCGAGGCCAGCAAATAAATATCCAATAAACAGCAGAGAACGCGGCTGACAGCTTAACCTTGCTCCTGCCTTCAAAGATGCCAGACTGTTCTGTTTGCTTAGGACTCTCCTTTTACCAACATTCAATTTGAATGAGCCAGTGCAAATGCACTGCTCGTCTGCTCCTGAGAACAGGATGCATTTATGTGAAACACGAGGAGAATGCCTAATGCCGAGGCATCCTCTGCATTCCCAGGAGCTTTTATTACAGGGCTAGCTTACATTTCACTGCCAGCACCCGCTGCACTTCTGCGAGTGTTGTAACTTCAAGCCAACATCCCATCCACACACTCACACACACCTGAAACGTTGTGATTGTCTTGTGTTAAGAGAAGTGCCTTTTGTGAGTTCCCATCTGCACCCAGTGATACTCCAGGTGACCATGACATAGGGTGAGCTGACTGTATGCTTCTCTTTTCTCTTTCAATCAGCATCTTTCAAGACTGGGAAAAATGACCACCAGATGCAATGTGGTATGTCAGCATTATGCTGAGAAGTAAACTGCTCTGTGGTCCTTCATGACAAATGAATCCAGGAAAACAGGCACTGTAGCTTTAATTCCTCTTTGATCTATGACATTAAACACAACCTTAATAAAATTCACCATCCAAAAAGTGTGTGATGCTATGTAACATAATAAGGTGTGGCTACCAGGCCACTGCCAACGTCCCATCTGATTAAAATGACCTGTTACAAGCGGTGAGAGAACAGTTCTCTTAATACATTTCATTTTACCCTCACAGTTCACATTTGACAGAGTTGCAAAGACAAAATTGTCATGGTATCCACCCCCTCCTTAAAATTGCCCCAACTGTCTAGCATGGTTTGGGAATTAAATTTGTATGGCTGTGTTACACTAGGTGCTTTTGTGTTAAGACATGCAGGGCAGAATCTTGGTGTGACTGGGGAGGGCCTTTTCTTAACCTTTTTTCACAACCTGAGAGTTTCAGTAATACACGTTTGGATACAGCAGGAGGATTTTCCCGAGATCTTTGTTACAGGGAGTGAGATGACTGAGGTCAGAGACTCTAGGTAAGCAGGAAGCATCTCATTGGGAGGAGGTATCTGGGAACTTTGGCAGAAGTATTTCTTTGGGAAATGCAGACTGTCATTACCCGGGTCAGAGGAATTCTGCTCAGTTCCACAGGTGAAAAAACTCTGTTTGGTCACTGTACCCAGGGCTTATACAGATCTCTGGAAAGTTATACTAGCCACACTCATGAGAGAATGATATATAAACCAAATTACAATTGATAAATTTTAATTCAACCAATAAATACTGTATGACAAAGAAGATATCTTTTAAATGACCAGAATTTTCACATCTACTAACTGAGCTTAACACAACTCTCCACCTTTTGCTTGGATTCAGGTACTCAAGGGGTGGCTTATTCTTATTATTCTTATTTATTTCAAGTATACAGAATGGCATGAAAGAAAGAAAGAAAGAAAGAAAGAAAGAAAGAAAGAAAGAAAGAAAGAAAGGAGGAAGGAAGGAAGGAAGGAAGGAAGGAAGGAAGGAAGGAAGGAAGGAAGGAAGGAAAGAAAGAAAGAAAGAAAGAAAGAAAGAAAGAAAGAAAGAAAGAAAGAAAGAAAGAAAAATAAATCTAGCACAAAACCAAGCATTTGCTAAATAACATTACTGTCTATGAGCTTCTCTTTGAAACTGTAGCCATTTTTCCCCATAGACTAAGAAACTGGGTGTGCAGGTGTGTGTGTGTGTGTGTGTGTGTGTGTGTGTGTGTGTGTGCGCGCGCCTTGATGGTATGGAAATAAATATTGAGTTATATAAATTTCCTAGGAGTCAATGGGAAATAAAAATCACAGTTAAGAGATTTCACAAATAGTTGGTAAATCAAGTAAAAAAATAAAATCTAGTAGATTCTTAGACTCAACGCCAGACCCAAGTACAGAAGTTGAGTTTCTAATCATAGCACAGACATGTGAAGCCATTAGTGTAAGCTGGGGAAACATGGGTGGTGATAGGAAAGGAGAAACAGATGCACATGTTAGCACCAATGATTAGGACAGAGAAATTTCAGGCAAATGTTCCACCCAGCTCTCTCAGAAGGGAAGCAAGTATTTATGATTATGATTGCCCACAGAGTGCCTGGATGATCGGATGATGCCTCCCAGCATTTGGGGAAATATGGAGACAGCTGGTAGGAAATGGTTGACTATAAATATCAGTTCAAAAACTTCTAGTAGAAGATGCTAAGGATGGATCAATTCATGTGTCCATTTATTTATTGCAATAAGCATTTCCAGAGTGCCTTCCATGGGCTATGCTTGGTGCTGCCCATGGGGGACACAGGAATGAATAATGGCTCACACCTGCTGACCAGAGGGGGCTCATGATCTTAGCACTCAGGATGCCTTTCCTCATTTCCCAAAGAAATATTTCTGCCAAAATCCCAGAAAAAGACAAGGTGGGATTCCACAAGAAAGATTTAAGACCCATCAGGAATAGCACTGTGGTTCTAAGCAGCTGACTCCCATCTTCCCAAATACCTAGGGAAGAGCCAAGGATGGGTGGGTCCCGAGGCACCAGCAGGAACTACGAGTGAGCAGCTCTCTCTGTGCTAATGCTTTCAGACTTGCCAGCTGCAGCAGACACAACTTTGGCCTCCAAAACCTTTACCTTCTGGTGTCATGCCTGTGGTGTTAGATGGCAAAAGAGACTTTTCCAGTGTAATTAAGGTCACTAATCAGCTGACCTTGAAATAGGGAGATTATCTTGGATTATCTGGGTGGGCCCAATGTAATCACATGAGTTCTTTACAGGCAGAAAAGTGATGCAGAAGAGTAAGTCAGAGGGACTCCAAGCATGAGAAGGATTCAATGTGTCATTATTGGCTTGAAGATGAAGGGGCATAGGTCACAAGAATCGGGACCTCAGTCCTACAACTGCAAGGAACTAAATTCTGCCAACAAACAGTGAGTTTGGAAAACACCAAGGCTCTAGAAGCTGAGAACTACAGGCCTAGCTGATACCTTGATCTCAGCCTGCTAGAACACTAAGGAGAGAATCTAGCCATGGGATGACATATTTCTGATTCCAAAAACCTGTGTGATGATAAATGGGGTTAAGTCACTAAATTAGTGCAATTTGTTATGCAGCGATAGGTAACTAATAAGCTAGCTACACCTATGGCCAGGCTGGCTGATCTTCTACAAACCAACCATCCTGTTTTGCAGACTGTTTCCATTCATGGCCCATCCGTGGGGAGAGTAACCTCTACCAGTGCCACAGATATCACTGGGAATGGACAAGCCAAGCCTAGAAGACACTAGGTCAGAACGGAGATACCCAGAGGCAGAAAAGATGACTCTAAGACCAATGGAACAGAGAGGGAAGTATATGACAAATCAGCACCAGACACTGTGCTCTGGGTATTCAGAGATAAATACGGCAAGATCCTTGTATCCAAGGGCCTTAGAGTAGAATGGGGTAAATAGTCCCAATAACTAGAAGGCAAAGTGGAACTAAGTGAGATGTCAGGAGCACAGGATAAGGCCATTTTTGCCATTTGGAGCCACAGGTGGTGTGAATACCCAAGGTGCCAGCTGTATGTGTACCATCCCCCATGAAAACTACCACCCATCAACTATCAAAATATCCAAGTTTTATGTAAAGACTGGATCTGACCCTGCACTTGTATAACTCTGCCTTACCTTATCCAAGTCTCAACCCTGTTGGATTCTGCATTTAAAATGATGAGATTTAGTTAATCTTGGACTTTTTAATATTCATTTCTCTTTTTAAAAGTATTGCATTACAATATTATTTCTCTTGATGACAGTATATTTGGCACCCCCTTAAATTTTGCTCCTCAGGTGAGTGTGTCACTCACGTTACCCTAGTGAGAAAGGAGCAGAGATGGCCAGGGAGGGAGATGCCAGGCAAGGGCAGGGAGTTAGTCCAAATTTAACATTGATTCTGGCATGGATCATACAGGCTTCAGGAAAATGGCTTGTGATTTTAATTTATGCTTTCTAATTTGGGAGCTCAACGAAAGTCTCATTTCTTTCTAGTCTCAAAATTCAGAGTCTAAAATTGTGTATGTAATGTTGTGTCTTTGAATGAGTAGCTTGACTCCTAAACTTAACAGTTCCTAGTTGCAGAAAGTTTTATAAATGCTCAGCTTCGTTTTGTCTGTCCAAAGTATTAATTTAGTCACATCAACTTCACTGTTAAATTAGAATAATTTCACTGCAGAAAATGTACAAAGCTCCCATTCTGGACATCCAACACATCTATAAAGAAAGGCAAACTGAGTCTAACGCCTTAGTGAAATTCAGGGAGAGCTAAGTCATAGTTAGGACAGAAGTTCTATGCAATCTTAGTGTGATGTGGTCAAGCTACTTCTGTAATTTCATGCAACTGGTGATGAGCTTACCACTGCCAACCCACAGGTACGATGCAGGTAACTGAGAGATCCCAGAAACCCCTATTCCTCCTCTGAAAGGTGGCCACCTTTGTGGGCTTCATTTTCTGCTTTTATAAAAGGAACGTTGGTCTCAAAAATAGTGCACAAAGAAAACGCTGAGTTTCCTGGTGGCCAACTGCATGTTTAATTGAATCAGTTTTACAATAAGGAGGATTCTTTTCCCCTCAAGTTCTAAAAATAGCAGGAAACCATGTGGTTTTAGCTTTGGGTTATTGACAGAACGATCTGTCCCATTGGCTTTTTTGCTTTGTTTAGTTAGGAGATATTATTCCATTGTCAGGTTGATGCTGGTTTCTTCTAGCTGTGAGTGGGCTTAACACAAAAGGTATTCTCAGGACCAATTTAAACCAGCAGGTAGAAATTGTTACACATCTGAATCAAAACAGAGGAAAAGTATATGCCACTTGCTTTGATAAACTCCCACCGTTTATTATCTGGGACTGAGGTTTTTAAAAGCAAACACTTTGTAGGGTTTAAGCAATCAGCATCTGATTATTACTTAATGACTGAACTCTCTTTAAGGCTCCATAATAATTAAATGCAAAAAAGGGAACTGGATGACATATGAGAATTTGAATTTTTTAACACCCAGGTTAAAGCATGTGAAATGTAATATTCTCTCTGCAAAATGAATTATTTCCTTTCCACTAAGCAGTCAGCTAGAACTCCAGTAATCAACAGAACACACAGAGCAAAGTGGGTGAGTCAACCTGTTCTGTGAAAACATTAAGTCATGCATATTGTGATTATGCACTTGACTTTACAAATTCAGGGCTAAATTATGCAAGGTTTTTATACTTCCGTACTTGATGAAGACCAAAATACAAGGAAACTGTCCTATAACTGTACAATTATCTGGTGAGGCAGCAAGAGATGACTCAGCGGGGCTATTCCCCAAAGTTCTAGAAGACTTCTCTGCTTCATCATGGCACCAGGAGTTAGTCCACGAACTCTCTGCCTCTCCTGGGGACTGGTCCTGGAAAGGCAGTGTCAGGCCCTGTGGTACTTCAGGACTGATGCCTGTATTTAATCAGACACAGACACTTCCACAACTCATAGCTCACTCTCCTTCTCTGAGGAAGTGCCTCGAACCAGGTTGAAAGGGAAGCCAGTTCCATCAGCACATGACAAAAATGGAAAAGGAATGTCCATCTTCCTAGGAACCTTCTAGAAACCTAATTAACCATTTCCATGCCCCAAATACAGAACCCAGAACAAAAAGCAATAGCCTAAACAATGCTTGGAGAACTCAGCATGCCTGGTCTCTGCAGCTTTATCAAGAATCAGGCTCTGCTACTTCAGAAGATGAGGAAATGCTGATGGCAGGGATGGCGAGAGGTGGAATAGAACACAAGAAGGCACACCCCAGCAGAGATTAGGAGGAGCAAGGGTCACTATGCTTCAGCCAAGGCGTCCGAGGGCCTGTAAGCAGAGGCTGTGGCTCTCATCTCAGGCAGTGCATTGGAATCACATGAAAAACATGACAAATACTCATGCCTGGTCCCACTCCTGAGATTCTGGTGCAATTGGTCAGGGGTGTGACCTGGGCATCAGGATCTTTAAAAGATCTTCAGTGATGCTAACATTCAACCAAGGTTGGGAAGCACCAAAGTAAGGACAACAGGTTTCTAGCAGCTTCCAGAAGTTAGCAAATGTCAAGCACCAGGAGGCTGCCTGTGGCTAAAGTTAATCTGACTATAGAGACAGGAACTTTGAATATAATCAAGAAACTCTGATGGGGCCCAGGTTTGTTCAGATAAGCACAGGAGATGGTGAGTGGGTGAGTCTTCACAGAGAAGCAGGGCTACTTTCCTGGAAGTAGCTCAGTGTTTATCACAAGCCACCATTCCACATGTACTCAATCATATTGGGTGTTGCTTGATAAAACACAGAATGCCCAGTGAAATATGAATTTCAGATAAA